GAGGGCTGTGCCGGGGCCAGCGCCGCGTTGGTGCCGTGGCCCTGGCTTGGGGGAGCCCATTGGGGAAATCTGGTCACCATCGCCTTTGTACAACCACTGCGTGTGCAAGGAATTGCGTTTGGCTGGGTCATGTGTCAGTGTGTTGGCTTGTCTGGCAATGAAACTGGTCCCCGTCTCCATGGCAGAAGGTGAAGGAGGTTGGGGAATGCGGGGTTGGGGTCATCCCTGAAGCTTCGTGCCTGGGAAGGGACATTTCCACACTGCTGAGGCTCAGCCATGTGGGTGCTGACCCCTTCCTGCTCAAACCCTTTTCCCATCCCTGCCAAGGCCATTACCCATGTTTAGGGACTGGTGGCTGGGTTTGGGACGCCCCGGGTTGGCAGTGGGTGATATGAGATGTTGAGGGTCATTCATCTGGTGACTTCCAGAGCAAAGCACCCAACAGATAGCCCCATGTGTGGCACAAGATCTGCTGGGAGGAACATAATAAATTATGCAATTTGCATATTGATGAATTTAATACTGACTCTGGCTTGCTAAGAATCAGGATCCTGGAGGGCTTTAGGAAACCTGAGGATCTTAAGTGTGCTCGAAGGGACCTTAAGGGTGCTGAAGTGCATCTCTGCAAGTGCCACGAGTGCACAGGGCGGCTGCTGGGACAGTTGCTCTGCCAGGGCTGGTGGGACCCTGCTTGCCAATCAAACTTGCCAGTCTCTGGAAAACCAGGCTGTTAGCTACGTGTCTCGCAGGAATCGCTGCTGAGGAGGAGAGCGGTGCTGAGCACAACCACGGCTGCCGAGATCTGTCCCGCGCCAGTGGCGGTGACAGTGACACAGAGCTGGGCCAGTGCCCCCGCGTCGGTCACCTCCTGGTGAGCGCCAGGACCTGTCTCAGCCCGGGGGTGACGTGTTGCTGGCCTGGCAGTGCTGGCATCAGGGGTGAAGTGTCGGGAGAGGAGCTCTTTGCCGGCACTGGGAGCTGAGCTGGCTGGCAGTCCCCTGCCTCTCAGATGAGGCTTGCCCAGAAGAAGATTGCCCTTTTTTAAAAACTAATCAAAGAAAAAAATTGGCTTCTTTGGGCAAAATCAGAGCCCGAAGTGCTGGAGGGAGTGGGGCCAGGGCTGCAGAGCATGCTGTGAACATGGGCCTTCCCCGGCTCGGCAGCCCCAGAAGAGCAGTGCCGCAGCTCAGCGTGGTGTCAAGGACTCGGGAGCAAGTGCTGGGTACCCTTGTCCCCAGCCATGTGTCTCAGCCGGCTTTGGGGTGTTGCACCCTTCCAGGAGCCCCATGTCCCCCACAGCATGGCTTCACAAAACCCATATAGCTCTGCAGGGAGACATCATTGCAGTTTGTTGGGGAGCAGCTCAGATTTGCTACCCCTTGCCTGGTCTCCCCTGGGTGCCTAACCGGAGCGCCCTGGTCCCGATCTGGAGGTGGGTCCTCTTCCCCTCCGACGCTGGGCACTGCGCAGGGCGAGGGCTGGGGCAATCCCCACACCGCGATGAATTTATTCCCCGCACATGGCCCCGCCACGCTTGTTTATTCATCCAAGGGTGAGCATGGAATGACCTTGAAATTTATAGGCTGAAGAGAGCAGTGAAATAACAGCTAAAACAAACAAATCAAGCTGTAAAGCTTGAAAACTATGAGCTGGCTTCAACAAATTGGAGTTGGGAGGGAAAGAAAGCAGAGGTGGCCTGGAGAGACCCGGTCCCCGGGGTCTTGGCATGAGCTGAGGAGCTGGACACACCGAGGGTTTGACCCATGGGCTTCGCACGCCTCCGTCCCCATCCCGTTTCGGTGGCACCCCGGAGATGCCCACCTCACACTGTTTGCACAGGGGCTCAGCGTGGCCGGCTGAGCATCGGCCAGGCCACTCAAGCAGCCAAGGGGAAGACCAAGTGATGAGGGTGCAGGGCTGCACGGTCACAGGGCTGAACACCAAATCCCATCCAAATCCAGCCTCTCATCTTTCAGGTGATCTGAGCACCCCAGCCACGTGCACACGGTTGCTTGCCCAGGCTTTAGCACCTCGATAAAAGACAGTCCTTGAAGAGGAGCACGAGGCCAATCCTGAGCGCCAGGCGAGCACCACGTGTGAGCTCCAGAGAGTAGCATGAGGCCCAAATGAAATCCAAACTGGTCACCCTGCTCTGTAACTCCCAGCTCTGGGCTCCAGTTCTCCCTGGGGTTTATTCTGGACAGCAGCAGATTTGCTAGAAATAGTTAGCGTAGGGGATGAGGGAGAGAGAGCTCGAGAGCCTGTTGAGCCAGATGTAATGGTCTCATTTAAGCACAGAGCCCCATGGGGACTGTCTTTGGAAAGCAGGATTTGAATCCTGTCCCGCTCTCCGCCTTCCCTTGGCCTCGTCATCCCAGAGCCAAGCTGCCCCAGTTGCTTGCTGGGCATTACTGGGCCGGGTTGTGTTTCCCCCTGTGCTGTCCTTCTCATAGACCAGCACAACCTGGGGACACCCGCAGCCCACCAAGGTCGAAGCCAAGACACCTCCCCAGCGACTGCAGGTCCCCCATGTTTTGGGCAGCACAGCAGATTTTCCTGCTGGGCAACCTCCTGTCAGACAAGCATCCTTGTGGTGGCTGCGGAGATCTTTGGAGTGGGAGTTGCCATCTAAACAGATTTGTGGCCAGGGCAGCAGCTTGCAGGGCTGGAAACCCAAGTGCACAATGTGTTCAAGAGCCCGGATTCCCAGCAGCAAGCGGCGCTCCAGCACGCTCCTCTCTGATGAATGAGATGTCCTGTAGACTCGGCAACATAAAACAGGAGTGCAGGGCATGGGGGAGCAATGGGATGTGGAGTTTGTCCATGGCATTGTCCAGTTGACGTGCATGTTTTGTGTCCAGGTTGCTGTCCCCCCGGCCCAGCCTACTCAACACCGCCAGCGATGCCAGGCTGAACTCCTCGCCGCAGAAGCCGCTGGACCTGAAACAGCTGAAGCAGCGTGCTGCTGCCATCCCTCCCATCGTGAGTACCCCACCAGAGAGGGCCAGGACCGGGAGCACGGCGGCCACGTGTGCCTCGTACATGCTCTTCCCTTGGGCTGCGTCCCCTGCGTGGCACGCGTCAGGGTTGCAAGGCTGTGCTCATCCCTGCGGATGGCCGGGCTCATGGTCTGCAGAGAGCTGTGCCTGGGTGGTGTGAGCCCCCCAACAGCCAAGGTGCTGTCTGTGCAGAGCGGCAGAGTGTGTTCCCAGCTGCGGGAGCAGCTCTACCAGCAATGTTTGGATGTCCCTTGAGGTCTTTTATCAGAAAGTTGTGGGAGGTCTGGACAGAAAAAGCTTCTCGTTGCCACGTGACTGCTGCCTCCCGTTGCTTTACAAAGCGAGTGTGCACCTTCCCAGCCCTGCACTTCTCTTCATCTCCTGTGCTTGAAGGATATGCCTGAGAAGCATTTGTGCTCTTTCTCATCCAGAAGCTCTGCTTGGTCCCTGTTTTTGGCTACCTGGTAGCCATGTACGGAAAGAACGTGTATTCTCCTAGGCTGATGGTTCCTCCTGGTGCAGTGGCTTGGGCTGTGACAAGAAGCACCTTGGTATCTCCAGGGTCGACACCAGAGGAGCAGCAGCGCAGGGTGGGCAGGGAAGAAATCCTTGCTTTTAGGTGTTGAGTACGTAGGGAGGACCCGTTCCTGATGCTCTTCCAGTTTCCCATGTTACAGCTTAAGATGTGGCTGCTGTCATGTAACTTCTGGCAAAAGCTTTGAGCACTCAACTATAGATGAGAGGTTTTGGACAAGGGAAGTCTGAGGCTCTCCCCTATAGTGTCACCAGCACAGAGCTGATACTTTTTGGTGTGGGCTTTTTTAACCTCCTGTGGCTGGTGAGCTTTGGAGTCCTCTTTGGGCTGATAAGACTTGCAGTGATAGTGTGGGGCATGTGCTTCTCGTAACACCTTGCTGTCTCCAAGACTGTTACGGATGTCAGCAACACATGACGAGTGTCACCAATTCTTATCACTTTGCAGATTTCCGAAGGTTTCTCAGAGGGGATTTTGCAGAGTGGAAGTGTGAAGCCTCAGGTGCCTCCCCATGCTTTGGCCCTCTACCAGCAGCAGATCACAAAAGCCCATGAGTCTGCCCGCGAGGACGTGCCCCCGAGCAAGCTCTCGCAGCCTCAGCAGCCGCAGGCTGAGAAGGAGCAGCAGCAGCCAAGCAGCAGTCCCAGGGGAAAGAGCAGGAGCCCCGCTGTCGGCGACAAGGAAGGTAGGGGTTGTGTGTGTGGCGGTGCCTGTTTATCCACACAGACGTGCCCGGTGTGTGCAGCTGTACACAGCCGGGAGCTTTCTTCCTCTTAGGTGAAAGCTTGCTTCAGCCCTTGAAAGCTCTTTAATAGCATCTTGAAGCAGGACGAGAGAGGCATGGCTAATTTCCCATGTTCATTAGACAGTACATCATGTCTCCTTGAGCCTACAGCAAACACCGGGCCAGTGTTGAGCACTGAGGAGGTGAAGATTGCCTTTATGAGCGTCTCTGCCATTCACTGGAGAGCAAAGGGGCCTGGAGGCATGCCAGGGCTCCGGGTACAATGGCTCTTTTCTACCTTGCTGGCTTTCTATAAAGAATGCTTTTAATGCTCAGCGGGGACCATTATTTCATTTAAAATCAATGCTAATACTGTGACTCGGGAGTCCAAAGGCTCCTGTAAAGATTCCCAGTGCTTTCTCCCCGGAATAGCTCTGATGTGGTTTGGCTGCCTAATGAGCAATTCAGAGTTTCCCACCGTAGAGCATGTGAAGCATGATTAGCTTGAGCACCTGGGGATCAAGGTTAAGGAGAGATGGGAAGTCCTGATGAAACCATCCTCTAAATGCGTTTTTAATCTGAGTATCAGAGTCTGTTCCAGTTCAGAGTCTGTGTCCCTGCCCCTCATAGCCCGCCTGTGGTTCAGTTGCGTGTGAAGGCAAGATGCTGTCACCAGTGCCACGATCAGAGGAGCAGGGAAATCGAGGTGGGTGGGTGCGATGTCCCCCAGTGCTGCACGGGGATGGGTGCAGCTGCAAAAATTACCTGCTTATGCATGGAGATGGAAAGTGGATAAGACTACACTGATGAGGCAGATCTGCACTGGACCTGGGCCATGATCTTTGCTGGAAAATCGCTGCACTAGTTCACCCTCCGGCAGCCAGGATCTTAGCAGCCTGCTCTGCAGTGTCCAGGCTCAGGTATTTATTCTTCAAGCTATCACGTCCCTCTGGACAGAACGATGTGCTTGCAAGAAAAGTTGGTGGCTGGCATGTGACCAAATTTTTTTAAAACAATAAATAGTGCCATGTGTGCATCACACCTCCAGAATGTTTTGTGTATAAGCAAGGAAGGTGACTGCTCACCTTGAAAGAAAGGGAGCTCCCCCCAAGTCATGGTGTTGCCGCCCATGAAGTCCCATCTCCAGCTGATCTCATTCTGATCTGCTCATGTTTGCTGCCCAGGCAAAACAGTTCCCCTCCAGCTCTTCCCCCGCAGCGACAGGTAATCACGTTTGATCTCCTCTTGCGCCGTAATCCCGAGTGGATCTGGTCTTGCACAGCTCAGCTTCCTGGTGAACTGGGTGGCACGGCCAGCCCTCGAACCCGGAGCTCTGCGTCACCTGTGTCCCAGTGCTGCAGCTCCAGCTTCGTCCTGGCCACAGGAGGAAGAGGAGATCAGGCAGATTTGTATGTGTTAGGTACAAGGCAGGGTTTAGGGGTTGGAGGTTAACCATGCCATTCTGCAACCTGTTAGCACCATTATTAAATGCAAGGGTCTGATACCCAGGTGGATTTTTTATGGCTTTGTTCTCTGCAAAGCACTAATGATACGAAACACTTTATTCTCCCCTCGCACACCTCCGTAGAGCTTTGAATCTTCCATGTTAATGAAATTGTTACTCCTCCCTGTACCCCTGCAAACATCTCAGCAGGTCTTGGGTTCCAGCTGTGTGATCCCCAAACCTGCGTAGCTGTGCGTGCGTGCTGGGAACCACAGTGGGTCTGGGTTGCATGTGGACCCTAGGGAATCCTAGGCTGGTCTTCTCTGTTCGTGATGTGAATGCATCTGTCATTTGAAAACCAGCAGGTTTGTGATGACTGACCTTGAGGGGAAAAATCAAGTCCCCCAAAGCCCCGATTTCAGTATGGGTATGGACTCAGGCATCAGCTTACTGCTGTCTCTGCCTCTTGGAGCACATCCCAACTGTGGATCAAGGGTTAGACGGGAGATAGCCAGATAGTCCTGGCAAATCTACGTTACATCCTTTCCCTCCCCTGCTCTCCAAGGCATCCCAGTGAGGTGGCAAGCATCCAGAGTGCAGACATCGTGCTGCCACCCCGCCTCTACATGGGCCTCACGTTAAACGGGAGAGTCCAGCACAGCCTGCAAAGCCTTCAGGAGAGCAGCCCCGTGCCACCTCCCAGCAAGGGGCCAGCTCCACCGGAGCAGGTCCTCTCATTCTTCCCCTGCTAGATAAGAGAGCTTGAACTCTTGCAACCGCTCCAGAGATCGACATCCTTCACACCGCTCTGGATCCACTTCAAAGCCAAGTCTTGCACACATCCTGGCCGAGGCGTTGGCTGCCTCGCAGCCGCTGGCTGGGGCCGTATCGGCTTTTTGGGGGGCCCCGCCCC